AGAGAAGAGAAGAGAAGAGAAGAGAAGAGAAGAGAAGAGAAGAGAAGAGAAGAGAAGAGAAGAGAAGAGAAGAGAAGAGAGCTGGAAGGGACCTCTGATGCTTTGGAGAATAATTTATTTGGGGTAGCCCCCCAAATACTGGAAGACTGCTATCATGTCCCCCGTGGTCCTTGTTTTCACTAGACTAGCCATACCAAAATACTGCAGTGGTTCTTCACAGGTTTTTATCTCCAGGCCTTTAATCCGCTTAGTTGCTCTTCTCTGAACTTTTTCCAAAGTCTCATCATCTTTTTTTGTAGGATGGTGACCAAAGTTGGTTGCAGTATTCCAGGTGTGGCCTTACTAAGGTTTTACAAAGCAGTACTAATACTTCACGTGATCTTGATTCTTTGCCTCTGTTCATACAACCAAGGATTGTGTTAGCTTTTTTGGCTCTGCTGCACACTGCTGGCTCATAGTTGGACAGCCCTCAATCCTTTCCACTCTCTCCCTCTTTCCTATCTCTTCCTTCCTTCCTTCCTTCCTTCCTTCCTTCCTTCCTTCCTTCCTTCCTTCCTTCCTTCCTTCCTTCCTTCCTTCCTTCCTTCCTTCCTGTAGGAAGGAAGGTGTGAGGGCCTCAGTGATACAACACTGATAGAATGTCGGTGTGTGAGGGCCTCAGTGATACAACATTGATAGAATGACCTTGGAGAGGTCTGGTTGAATTCAACCTTAACAAGAGTGTCATCATATAAGTTATTTTGGGAAGGTGAAGGAGCCTAAACAAGTTATGTCTGTTGGCCTCTGCCAAAGGGACTCATATGAAATGATGATCTACCGTGTCCACGGACAGGAGCTCAGCGCCATCTTCAACAGACAAGAATGAGGCTTTGATTCTGATTGTCATGTGGCTTCTGGTAGGCGACACAGTAAACGTGGCATTCACTTTTGGAGATATTTCAATTTTCATGTCTTTTCCAGAAGGTAGATCAGCCTGGAGAAAACGAAACATCCTTAAAATCAGACGGCTGTAAACTACAATCAAGTTTTTGAACTACCTTCACCAAGTTCACTGTTTGGGTGCTGAGGAGTGGGTAGAGAGAGACAGACACACACCCCTTGGTCTTTCACTTTCTCAGAGGTGACCTCCTTCTCTGGCAGCTGACCCTATAGTGTGGGCTTCATGGATCTCCTCTCTTTCTCTCTCTCTCTCTCTCTCCATCCATCCATCTATCTCTCTCTCTATCCATCCATCCATTATCTGTCTGTCTGTCTGTCTGTCTTTCTCCATCCATCCATCTATCTAATCTATCATCTGTCTATCCATCTATCTTCTATGTATCTATCTCTATCCTATCTCTTTCTTTCTATCTATATATCTATTTATCTATCATCTGTCTGTCTGTCTCTATCTATCTATTTATCCATCTAATCTATCATCTGTCTATCCATCTATCTTCTATGTATCTATCTCTATCCTATTTCTTTCTATCTATCTATCTATCTATCTATCTATCTATCTATCTATCTATCTATCTATCTATCATCTGTCTGTCTCTATCTATCTATCTATCTATCTATCTATCTATCTATCTATCTATCTATCTATATATCTATCTATCATCTGTCTATCCAATCTATCTTCTATGTATCTATCTCTATCCTATCTCTTTCTATCATCTATCTATCTATCTATCTATCTATCTATCTATCTATCTATCTATCTATCTATCACCTATCTATCATCTATCATCTATCTATCTATATCATCTATATCCAGCTATCTATCTAATTATATATCTATCTCTATCACCTATCTATCATCTCTCTTTCTCCTTTATGTATCATCTATTTATTTATCTTTATTTCTCTATCTCCTATCTCTCCGTCTCATTTTCTCTCTCTCTTTCTCATTTATCTATTGCCAACATCTTGCGGAGCCCAACAAATCTTATCCTTCTGAAATCATGTCAGTTCTTACAAGGTAGCCCCAAAACACAATAAACTTACATCTGGCAATATTTCTTTCAGCTGGTCAGTCGTAGGAGTGGAACCCTGACCCAAAAAAGGGGGGGGAGAGAAATACTCAAGTTAGTAACAAAAATGAAATAGCCAAGCCAAAGATTGCAAGCAATGACCTTTCACCCCAAGTGAAGCAATGCTTATTTCCCATGGAAATCAACCTGGAAGAAAGTGAGCTGGATAAATAAATATCGCCAACACACCAATCCCTTTGTTTAGAATCTAGATTTTGGAAGGAGACGCCCTTGTGAAGGAATTTTAGAGATCTAGGGAGCATATCAAGGAATCCAAAGTGGGTTTTTCACCCAGAATCCAGGAATTGATTCTTTGATCACCTCAATTTTGGTAATAACAGAGTTGAACGAGCCATCCATCAACATCATTGCAACGTTGATGGTAGACACAGGTATGTAGACCGTGGTTTTTCCTTCCTCTTTTGGTGGCAGATCTTCAGGAACCGGATCAGGTGCGACTTCTACGATGTCCCCATTATTGGCTTGGAATTTAACCTTGAAAAGGAAGCATAAACACCAGCGCTGTCATTTCAAAAGCGAGTGAAACTTGTCTCAAAGTACACACTGGATTGGTGGGGCGCAGAGGTCATCTGCAACTTGGTTCTGTTCTTGGACATCTGATCTCCACATCCAATTTTATTCTGGGCTCCTGTTCCCTGAACCTCAAGCCAAAGTCTGCAAAGCAATTCTACGTTGATGGCTGGAAAGAAGCCAGAATACCAATAAATGAGAATATTCGTAGTTCAGGATTGAAATGAGGAGTCCCTCTGCTCTCATAGCTTGATTGTTTTCTTGCAGGTGTTTAATTACCCAACAAGATTACATCATTAGTGTTAGAAGGGAGTGGGGTTTGCTCCCATTATTTTTTAAATGCAAAAGAACCACCAAGCTCAGAGAGCACCAAGAATCACACATGTTCTGACCTAAAAGGCTTCCCCCAAAAGCACTAAGCAGACTCTTTGTCCTGGCAAAATCCCTTTTGTTAAATTCCTTGCATTTGCATTCAGCCAAAGGCCTGGCAGCCAGTCTTCCAAGGGTGTAATTAGGAGCACAGAACTTATCTAGCCTGGAGAGCTGCCAAGTAACTATTTCCAAACGCAGTGCTGACAAGGAAGGACTCGGCACAGATTCTCTGAGATGCACAGACAGATCTTCACAGCAGGAAATTTCTCCTTAGTTCTAAGTTGCTTCTCTCCTTGACTAGTTTCCATCTGATGCTTCTTGTCTTGACTTCTGGTGCTCTGGAGAATAGCTTGACTCCCTCTTCTTTGGGGCAGCCCCTCAAATATTGGAAGACTGCTATCATGTCACCCTTAGTCCTTCTTTTCATCAAACTAGATGTACCCAATTCCAGCAGCCGTTCTTTGTATGTTTTAGCCTCCAGTCCAGTGGTGAGATTCAAAGCTTTTTACTACCAGTTCTGTGGGCGTGGCTTGGTGGGCGTGGCTTGATTTGGTGAGCATGGCTTGGTGGGTCTGGCAGGAGATGGATATTGTAGAATCTCCATTTCCACCCCACTCCAGGGGAAGGATATACTTGCAAAGTCACCCTTCCCTCCCCACCCCAGTAACCTGCTTTCCAGCTCTGTTCTCCTGTGCAGGGCAACAAAAGAAGACCCAGCCGATCAGCTCAATGGGAGGTGGAGAATAGATGGGGATGACGGGGCCAGTCAGAGGTGGGATCCAAATTTCTGTTACTGGTTCTCCAGAACTAGTCAGAACTGGCTGAGTCCCACCTCTGCTCCAGTCCCCTAATTCTTTTCATGGCTTTTCTCTGCACTCTTTCTAGATTAAGGCTGGTTGGTGACAACGTGGGGTGAAAATGATGAATGATGTAGCCAATCACTCTTACCTTGAGCTGAATCAAGTTGTAGTCTGGGAAGACCCCTGGTTCTTCGGCCACTTCATACCACACTGTGCTGCTCTCTCCAAAAGATTTTTTTTCTACGAAAAGATACAGGACAGCCTTTTTCAAACCAGGTAGAATTGATACGACTCCTAGAAGCCTCAAATTGATCTTGGGGAGCCACAAAATGGGACCTGCAAGGCTAATAAATGGTCCACACCAGGCCAAAAAAAATCATGGTTTGCAAACCACAACAAACCCACATCATCCCCAATGGTCAAATGACCAGGATCTCCAGTGGAGAAATGTGAAGAAATGTTCTTTGGGGATTCTCTGTTACTGATTATGTGGTTTTTCTTTTCATTTAAGAGAAAAGTTTCGACCATGTTGTCAACTCGTAAAGCATTCCTATGCCTGCTTTCGAGTTGCCATAAGCAGGAGGAAGGGAAGCCTGAAGGAGCAATACGGCTGTTAAAACCAGAATTACATTCCACGTTTATCTTACAAAGATTGTAGCTAGGCTACCGGATCTTCTGCCTGCGAAAATCCTTCATTGGAGAATGTGATTGATGACATCCAGCCCCTTTCATTGGAGAATCTGATTTATGACACACCCAGAGGGAGGGGGGAAACAGGGTCACAGGTGACCATAAATTACATGTGGCAGAGTTGGCTTCATCTGGGTCAATGCCGACATGTTGCTCCTAATAAATCTTTTGGGTTCTTTTGAAGCTTGTCTTGGGGCTCATGAGTTAATTAGGGCAATCTCCGGAACCCTGACACATGTGAGCTTCTCTGGAACACAAACTGAATTTGTATAATAAGGTCTCTGGCCACCAAATCAATAACCCAACACCTCTCAAGTTTGGGAAGGAGCAGTTTGGAGTTTTTCTTTCTTAGTTGCTTTTCCAAAATTTCTTCCCAGAAACACAATGGAACAAAAGCTTTGCCTAAAGTTGACCAGATCCAACACTCCTATTTTGTCTTAACAGGACATCCCAAGTGGAACAAGTTGAGCAGCCCCCACTCCCACAAGACCCCCATCAATTGCAGAGCGCAAAAGTCAACTGAAGAGTTGACTGTGGGAACAGGGTCTTCAGATTGTCTCCTCCCCCAAAAGGTAGGAAAAACTCAAAATGTTGGTCTTTGGGGTGCTATCGTATCCTCAAACTGTCTCCTGCAGCCTTCCAGGCATTAGGAGCCCCCAGCCTTGGAAATCTGTTCTTTTTCTCTTGGCAGCTTTGGTTCCTTTCTCACCTTCTCCATCACACCTGGTTGCCCATCAGAAGCGATGGGGCCCACTGAGCTGACATGATGGGGCAGAACAGCTCAATCAGTTTAACAGATTAACAGAGTTGGAAGGGACTTTGTAGGTCATTTAGTCCAACCCCCTGCCCAAGCAGGAGACCCTACACCATTTCTGACAGATGACAGTCTAATCTCTTCTTGAAAGCCTCCAGTAATGAAACTCCCAAAACTTCCAAAGGCAACTTCTGTTCCATGGGTTGATTGTTCTCACTGTCAAAAATTCCAGGTTGAATCTCTCCTTGGTCAGTTTCCATCCATTATTCCTTGTCTGGCCTTTGGGTGCTTTAGAAAATAGCTTGACCCCCTTCTTCCTCCTCTCTGGGGCAGCCCCTCAAATATTGGAAGACTGCTCTCCTGTCTCCCCTGGTCCTTCTCTCTTCCCTAGACTAGCCAGGCCCAGTTCCTTCAACAAAGCCACTCACCAAACATTGGTTCTATTTTTGTCTCCATAAAGGCAATCACGTTGTCTGCAGCTGGGCACATCTGGAAGGCAAGGGAAGGAGAAAGGAGAGATTGTTGGACAAGAGCAGCAGATTTGGTTGCAGCTGGATCCTCAAGAGGTGGGGAGCGGATGCAACCTTTGATGCAGATTGATTGATTAGTTTTATTTATATCAGAATAACAGAGTTGGAAGGGAACTTGGAGGTCTTCTAGCCCAAGCAAGAGACCCTCTACTATTTCAGACCAATGGCTGTCCAGTCTCTTCTTAAAAACCTCTAGGGATGGAGCACCCACAACTTCTGGTGGCAAGCAGTTCCACTGTCAAGACATGTATCCTTAGTTTTGTGTTGCTTCTCTCCTTGATCAGTTTCCATCAGTTGCTTCTTGTCCTGCCTTCAGGGGCTTTGGAGAATAGGTTGGTCCCCTCTTCTATGAATGAATGAATGAATGAATGAATGAATGAATGAATGAATGAATG